CTATTTCATTTGGCTATCTCCCAGTGGACTAGATCTATATTTCTCCACTCACTGCTAGATAATGTTATAGCTAACTTTGCCAACTCAGTCTAATTTCTCACTTTATGTGTCATTCCTCACTCCCTTTCCCTTTCACCTGTGCTCCTTGTGTAGACTACTGTTATTGACTCCTCTGCTTTTTGAGTCAGGTAGCTACAGCTAAGGTGTGTTTTGTTTGCGGTTTGTTTGTTTTGTTAATTAAAGTATCTTCGAGATTTTTAGAAACTATTACCCTTATCTCTACACCTACATTAGTAACAGGGACAGACTTCTTTTTTTGCTACCTATTTCACTAGGGTTACCCCCTTATCTGCTCCCTCAGATTTTTGGCCAACTCTTCTTTATCTGCCTGCAGGGACAGGCTATAAACACCAGAACAACTACATTAAACTGTAGTGGTTCTGGTGACTATAGTGTCCCTTTAAGAATTGCACTGTCGTTGAAAATGACTGGCTCCCAGCTTTTTTAGCTGGCTCCTATATTCCAAACAAATTTGTCAAGCCCTGCCATATTGTATCAATGCAATGTTTTGTGGACCCAGGACATACTTGAAAATGAGAGAAATCTCAATGTATCTTTCCTGGTAAAATATACAGAAACATACAGTTATTGGATTTATTATATATAGAGGGAGGAGGGTGGGACAAACAGACACACACAGACGCAGAAGTACACAGATCACATTGATTGTAAAGAGTGGCAGCTCACCATGCAAGCTTCTCTACATCTGAAAACAGTCCATCCGCTTTCCATGAGCAAAAGATGAACACTGTACAAGACTTCACCAGTAGCATGCTCAGCATCAATCCCGGATCTCACGCCAATCTCCGACATTACCCCAATCCCGGATCTCACGCCAATCTCCGACATTATCCCAATCCCGGATCTCACGCCAATCTCCGACATTATCCCAATCCCGGATCTCACGCCAATGCTCCGACGTTACCCCAATCCCGGATCTCACGCCAATGCTCCGACGTTACCCCAATCCCGGATCTCACGCCAATCTCCGACATTATCCCAATCCCGGATCTCACGCCAATCTCCGACATTATCCCAATCCCGGATCTCACGCCAATCTCTGACATTACCCCAATCCCGGATCTCACGCCAATCTCCGACATTATCCCAATCCCGGATCTCACGCCAATCTCCGACATTATCCCAATCCCTGATCTCACGCCAATCTCCGACATTATCCCAATCCATGATCTCACGCCAATCTCCGACATTATCCCAATACATGATCTCACGCCAATCTCCGACATTATCCCAATACATGATCTCATGCCAATCTCCGACATTATCCCAATCCCGGATCTCACGCCAATCTCCTACATTATCCAATCCCTGATCTCACAATATCCGATATAATCCCAATACATGATCTCACGCCAATTTCTGACATTATCCCAATCCCAGATGTCGCACCAATATCCAACATTATCCCAATCCCGGATGTCACACCAATCTCCGACATTATCCCAATCCCTGATCTCACGCCAATCTCAGACATTATCCCAATCCCGGATCTCACACCAATCTCCGATATTAACCCAATCCCTGATCTCACGCCAATCTCCTATATTATCCCAATCCCTGATCTCACGCCAATCTCCTATATTATCCCAATCCCTGATCTCACGCCAATCTCAAACATTATCCCAATCCCTGATTTCACGCCTATCTCAAACATTATCTCAATCCCTGATCTCACGCCAATCTCAAACATTATCCCAATCCCTGATTTCACACCAATCTCCGACATTATCCCAATCCCGGATCTCACGCCAATCTCCGACATTATCCCAATCCCAGATCTCACGCCAATCTCCAACAATATCCCAATCCCTGATCTCACACCAGTCTCTGACATTATCCCAATACTGCATGTCACGCCAATCGCCTACATTATCCCAATCCAGGATCTCACGCCAATCTCCGATATTATCCCAATCCCTGATCTCACGCCAATCTCCGACATTATACCAAACCCTGATTTCACGCCAATCTCAAACATTATCCCAATCCCTGATTTCACGCCAATCTCAAACATTATCCCAATCCCTGATTTCACGCCAATCTCAAACATTATCCCAATCCCTGATCTCACGCCAATCTCCGACATTATCCCAATCCCTGATTTTACTCCAATCTCTGATATTATCCTAATCCCTGATCTCATTCCAATCCTGACATTATCCCAATCCAGGATCTCACGCCAATCTCTGACATTATCCCAATCCAGGATCTCACGCCAATCTCCGACATTATACCAATCCCTGATTTTACAACAATCTCCAACATTATTCCAATCTCTGATCTCACGCCAATCTTCGACATTATGCCAATCCCTGAACTTGCGTATGGCTCGATATTTAACCTCTCCTCTCAGCCATGGGAAGAATTAAATGGCAGAGAGGTCAGTTCTCTACTGTACTCACCGGAACTGGCCCAGGACGCGGTCAGCCAGAGACACCCCTCCTGATGAAAGCTCCTAAGAAGACACAAAAGTATAAGCTAAAACAGGGAACAAGGCAGTGCATACAGGGATATCAGGATAGGCAGTACTTTGTTAGATCATTACAGGAAAAGGACAGCAGGCAGAAATGGAGCTGGAAAAACACAAACAGGTTTGGCACAGCTGGAGCCCAAGAGGATATAAACACAGTCTGGGGAGCTGGAACTGCAAAGGGTAGAAAAACGACCAGCACAGCCTGGGGAGATGGTAACATAACCAGACTAGCACAGCCTGATGAGATGGAAACACAACCAGACTAGCACAGCCTGATGAGATGGAAACACAACCAGACTAGCACAGCCTGGGGAGATGGAAACATAACAGGACTAGCACAGTCTGGGGAACTGGAAACAAAACAGGACTAGCACAGCCTGAGGAACTGGAAACAAAACAGGACTAGCACAGCCTGAGGAGACGGAAACAAAACAGGACTAGCACAGCCTGAGGAGACGGAAACAAAACAGGACTAGCACAGCCTGGGGAGACGAAAACAAAACAGGACTAGCACAGCCTGAGGAGACGGAAACAAAACAGGACTAGCACAGCCTGAGGAGACGGAAACATAACAGGACTAGCACAGCCTGGGGAGACGGAAACAAAACAGGACTAGCACAGCCTGGGGAGACGAAAACAAAACAGGACTAGCACAGCCTGAGAGACGGAAACAAAACGGAAACACATAACAGGACTAGCACAGCCTGGGGAGACGGAAACATAACAGGACTAGCACAGCCTGGGGAGACGGAAACATAACAGGACTAGCACAGCCTGGGGAGCTAGAAACATAACAGGACTAGCACAGTCTGGGGAGCTGGAAACATAACAGGACTAGCACAGCCTGGGGAGCTAGAAACATAACAGGACTAGCACAGCCTGGGGAGCTAGAAACATAACAGGACTAGCACAGTCTGGGGAACTGGAAACATAACAGGACTAGCACAGCCTGGGGAGACGGAAACATAACAGGACTAGCACAGCCTGGGGAACTGGAAACATAACAGGACTAGCACAGCCTGGGGAGATGGAAACATAACAGGACTAGCACAGTCTGGGAAGCTGGAAACATAACAGGACTAGCACAGTCTGGGGAACTGGAAACATAACAGGACTAGCACAGCCTGGGGAGCTAGAAACATAACAGGACTAGCACAGTCTGGGGAGCTGGAAACATAACAGGACTAGCACAGCCTGGGGAGCTAGAAACATAACAGGACTAGCACAGCCTGGGGAGCTAGAAACATAACAGGACTAGCACAGCCTGGGGAGCTGGAAACATAACAGGACTAGCACAGCCTGGGGAGCTGGAAACATAACAGGACTAGCACAGCCTGGGGAGCTGGAAACATAACAGGACTAGCACAGTCTGGGGAACTGGTAACATAACAGGACTAGCACAGCCTGGGGAACTGGAAACATAACAGGACTAGCACAGTCTGGGGAACTGGAAACATAACAGGACTAGCACAGTCTGGGGAACTGGTAACATAACAGGACAACAGTAGCAAAAGAAGCAAGAGCTCAAACTGGTGGCTGAGAGAGGAATAGTCGGAAGACATGTTTCTCAGCTAAGCTACTCAGGGTAGTGGCACATTCCTTGGACCACAAGTGGACATGGAGCATCTAAAAGGTTTGTGGTCCAGTAGCCATGGACAATGGGCCGGGGAGATCAATGAGGATGGCCGGGGTAAGAAAGGGCGATGTAGGGTTTCCTACCTGATCTAGATTTCGTGTCACATAGACTCATGCTGCTCACTGCTTCCTTTCTGTCACGTTTGTGTAACTCAAGCTGGCAGAACTGGCATCCTGTCTCCGAAACCTGAGGAGAATGAAAACAACCATCTGTCAGCATGTGATGAGGTTCTCAATCTGCTGTCAGCAAGGCGTTCCATGTCGAGCCTAGCTCTGACCACCATCACTCCCACCGGGCCTAGCTCTGACCACCATCCTTCCCACCGGGCCTAGCTCTGACTACCATCCTTCCCACCGGGCCTAGCGGGCCTAGCTCTGACCACCATCACTCCCACCGTGCCTAGCTCTGACCACCATCACTCCCACCGTGCCTAGCTCTGACCACCATCACTCCCACCGTGCCTAGCTCTGGACCACCATCACTCCCACCGTGCCTAGCTCTGGACCACCATCACTCCCACCGTGCCTAGCTCTGGACCACCATCACTCCCACCGTGCCTAGCTCTGGACCACCATCACTCCCACCGTGCCTAGCTCTGGACCACCATCACTCCCACCGTGCCTGGCTCTGGACCACCATCACTCCCCACCGTGCCTAGCTCTGGACCACCATCACTCCCACCGTGCCTGGCTCTGGACCACCATCACTCCCCACCGTGCCTGGCTCTGGACCACGTGCCTAGCTCTGACCACCATCACTCCCCATCTGCCTAGCTCTGACCACCATCACTCCCGTGCCTAGCTCTGACCACCCATCACTCCCACCGTGCCTAGCTCTGGACCACCATCACTCCCACCGTGCCTAGCTCTGGACCACCATCACTCCCACCGTGCCTAGCTCTGGACCACCATCACTCCCACCGTGCCTAGCTCTGGACCACCATCACTCCCACCGTGCCTAGCTCTGGACCACCATCACTCCCACCGTGCCTAGCTCTGGACCACCATCATTCCCACCGTGCCTAGCTCTGGACCACCATCATTCCCACCGTGCCTAGCTCTGGACCACCATCATTCCCACCGTGCCTAGCTCTGGACCACCATCATTCCCACCGTGCCTAGCTCTGGACCACCATCACTCCCACCGTGCCTAGCTCTGACCACCATCACTCCCACCGGGCCTAGCTCTGACCACCATCACTCCCACCGGGCCTAGCTCTGACCACCATCACTCCCACCGGGCCTAGCTCTGACCATCACTCTCATCATGCCTAAATCTGACCACCAACAATCTCGCTATACTGCACATAGCTTTACAAACCTACCAAAACATGTGGCTTACCAAGCCCTAAAGCAGCCCACCACCACTTTGTGCAACTAACCCATAGCATTTGGAGTCCTGACCCCTTTTGTATTACATCTAGCTTTACAACCCCTCACTGTGTGCTTATCCTCAGATACCTCTTCCCCAACAGTAAGCCAAATCAAACTCTTATCCCCTGTGTCATTCATAGCCAAAAAACCTCTGCCCTGAACCTTCCAAGGTCACTTGTAGATAAAACCTACATGGTGCAACTTACAGCTCAGAGTACATGTACAACCCTGTGTCACAAAGACTCCTATAACTCCCCCAGTCTGTCCATCCATGACGCACCTAATCAGAAACTTAAGCCATAAGCTCACACAATGATATAGCTAACTGGACGTCTCTCCACACTGCACCTAACCTCAAAACACCAAACTCCTAGCTTCCAACCAACACTAAAAACCAACCACCAGCCACAATCGTAGGACACAACCAGTCACTTGTATATATATATAAAAAGACGGACAGCATGAGGCACTGTTTACAACAGCCAGCAGTGGTATCATGGTGACTAAAGTATAAGTACCCTCAATATTATCCGGCAGGGGGAGCTGTGCACATAAATTTTCCCAGTACAGCAGCCAGCAGGGGGAGCTGTGGAGTTACTGTATGAGAATGATTTAGGGACATGGCCTGTCTGTAAAGCTAGAATGGTTCCAGCAGGATTCATTTCATACAGCGTTACTTGTAGCTCTGGTTAAAGCACTGTCCTATTAATAGCAGTGCGTGTGCTGTGCAGCAGGCTGCCTCTCCCTTCTTCCTCCGCCTGTGGGTGTTCAGGTGTGTCTGCCCCTCCTGTTTGTAGAATTGATACCCTGGGGGTAGAAAGCGCGTGCCTCTCTGACTCGTAGCAAAAAGAATGCAGAGAAAGGCAAGGAGCCAAAACCACACAAACAGGGAAGGGAGGTGGGGGGAGAGGCGCACCTTCCCACATGCAGACAGGTAACCCCAGGCCAGCCTTGCAATAAGGAGTAGGCCCTGCAGCTGACAGGACTAGTGGTTGGCCTTTCACACAGCAGACCAGAAACATTTTCTCCTCCTAGAAAGGGTAGTTAATAGCTGGAACAGCCTTTAAGTTTGGTAATTTTTCTATCACTGTTACCCTTTACTGCTCCCACTGGAAGGCTATTCCAGGTATCTACTACCCTTTCTATAAAACACTGTTACTGCTCCCACTGGAAGGCTGTTCCAGGTATCTACTACCCTTTCTATAAAACACTTACCACTCCCACTGGAAGGATATTCCAGGTATCTACTACCCTTTCTATATCACTGTTACTGCTCCCACTGGGAGGTTATTCCAGGTATCTACTACCCTTTCTATATCACTGTTACCGCTCCCACTGGAAGGCTATTCCAGATATCTACTAACCTTTCTAGATCGCTGTTGCCCTTATGGATTCCACTGGAAGGCTATTCCAGGTACCTCTCCCTGTGTCTACAATATGTGTGTGCTCTCCCAGTGTCTGTGTACATAATGTGTGCGCTCTCCTAGTGTCTGTGTACATAATGTGTGCGCTCTCCCAGTGTCTGTGTACATAATGTGTGCGCTCTCCCAGTGTCTGTGTACATAATGTGTGCGCTCTCCCAGTGTCTGTGTACATAATGTGTGCTCTCCCTGTGTCTGTGTATATAATGTGTGCTCTCCCTGTGTCTGTGTATATAATGTGTGCTCTCCCTGTGTCTGTGTATATAATGTGTGCTCTCCCTGTGTCTGTTCATATAATGAGTGCTCTCCCTGTGTCTGTTTATATAACGTGTGTCCTCTCCTTGTGTCTGTGTATAATAACATAATTGTGTCCTCTCCTTGTGTCTGTGTATAATAACATAATTGTGACGAACGCCACTTGGCCTGGTCATTCACCACAGGCTCTTGGAGAAGTGTGAAAGCTAGCCTCCTGCGCACTGACTATGGGCCATGGGAAAGGCTTACAAACAGACTTCGTGGGAATTATATATACTGTTCTGGAACCGAACCAACTCACGAACTGTGGACCACCTTTGGGCTTGTTAAACCCTGGTAACCTCTCCTGACTCTTCAATTATCGTGAGTTCTAATTGTGCGGCTGGGTGGCCGCCGTTCGTATGCACGAACATGTCTGCGGGAATGCAGGCAGCGGTGTTTGGGCATTGATCGTATGGAACTAAAATCGTTTGATGAGCGGTATGTCCCTGGCCTACATTCTTATACATTGGCTTGCTGGTGGCTTTCATTATCTTGTTAGAAAGCAATGACACGAAACCATGGGATACACAGCAGCAAGCTGGAAGGTCGTCAAGGAGGTAAACGTTATAATGCCACCATACAGCATTACACATCTGAGAAGGAACAAATCTGGGGCTCAGCGTCTGGTAAACGAAACATTATAATGGTGAGGACACGCACGTTACGGGAGTGACTGTGGTATGATCCTTTACCGACCTCATAGGAGTTTAACACAGGGTTCAGAAAACTGCTAAGAGATTGTCAGAACAATAGGCAGACCCATTCAAGCCAAGAGAAAAGCCACAAACATTCATACACATTCTTTGGGCACCTGTTAATGTACAAAGTGCTTCACCTCGAGTGATGGAGCCTACAAAGTGTCCACTCACATCAGATGTATTCTAGAGAGAGTGCATCCCATTAAACATTCACGGCGTACAGAAAGAATAAAGCCTCGAGGTGTACAAATGACCAAGACATCTTTCCGGGCTGTTCAACAAGGTTAGAAATCAGGAGTTATCATGCTAATGGATTACCATCTCATCGGCTCATATTGTATACATCCTGGAAAAGCAATCATGTACAAGCAGAAGAGAAGACAAATACCACCACCATCTAATCAGTCTGTCAGACAGCCTATAGCTTATTACCACACAGGAACTGGAGGGGCCTATAGCTTATTACCACACAGGAACTGGAGGAGCTTATAACTTATTACCACACAGGAACTGGAGGGGCCTATAGCTGATTACCACACAGGAACTGGAGGGGCCTATAGCTTATTACCACACAGGAACTGGAGGAGCTTATAACTTATTACCACACAGGAACTGGAGGAGCTTATAGCTTATTACCACACAGGAACTGGAGGAGCTTATAGCTTATTACCACACAGGAACTGGAGGAGCTTATAACTTATTACCACACAGGAACTGGAGGGGCCTATAGCTGATTACCACACAGGAACTGGAGGGGCCTATAGCTTATTACCACACAGGAACTGGAGGAGCTTATAACTTATTACCACACAGGAACTGGAGGAGCTTATAGCTTATTACCACACAGGAACTGGAGGATCTTATAACTTATTACCACCCAGGAACTGGAGGGGCCTATAGCTTATTATCACACAGGAACTGGAGGGGCCTATAACTTATTACTACACAGGAACTGGAGGAGCTTATAGCTTATTACCACACAGGAACTGGAGGAGCTTATAGCTTATTACCACACAGGAACTGGAGGGGCCTATAGCCGATTACCACACAGGAACTGGAGGGGCCTATAGCTTATAACTACACAGGACCTGGAGGGGCCTATAGCTTATTACTACACAGGACAGACCAACAGATTAATGCCCTGAAAATGCATTTGAGGCAGAGGCATATAAACTATGTAATGCTTCAAATGAAACCTCTCAATGTATTGCATCACCCTCAGTACACAAAAACTCTTACTGAGAATGTGCTCAGGGGATCTCCCTGGGGGTAAAATACATCCCCACCTCTACATCCCTGGGGGTAAAATACATCCCCATCTCTACATCCTTGGGGGTAAAATACATCCCCACCTCTACATCCCTGGGGGTAAAATACATCCCCATCTCTACATCCCTGGGGGTAAAATACATCCCCACCTCTACATCCCTGGGGGTAAAATACATCCCCACCTCTACATCCCTGGGGGTAAAATACATCCCCACCTCTACATCCCTGGGGGTAAAATACATCCCCACCTCTACATCCCTGGGGGTAAAATACATCCCCACCTCTACATCCCTGGGGGTAAAATACATCCCCATCTCTACATCCCTGGGGGTAAAATACATCCCCACCTCTACATCCCTGGGGGTAAAATACATACCCACCTCTACATCCCTGGGGGTAAAATACATCCCTGGGGGTAAAATACCCACCTCTACATCCCTGGGGGTAAAATACATACCCACCTCTACATCCCTGGGGGTAAAATACATACCCACCTCTACATCCCTGGGGGTAAAATACATACCCACCTCTACATCCCTGGGGGTAAAATACATACCTACCTCTACACCCCTGGGCAAAAAATACATACCAACCTCTACATCACAGCTACTAGAAGATTTCATGGAACACAGCAGACACCAATATGCAGTAACAACATCCTGCCCGCAAGAGGCCAAGTCCAGGCAAATGACAGAGGCACAAAGTCCATAATACTGGAGACGTAGTGGGTCAAATTCCACAAATCCACGGACCACGAAGGGTATGATGCAACACAACACTAGCAGGCAGACCAGACTTATTAACCATCACCCTGCCAGAAACCTGCTAACACATTAACCCTCTCCACGCCAAAACCAGACTTATTAACCCTCTCCCTGCAAGAAGCCTGCTAACACATTAACCCTCACTCTACCAGAAGCCTGCTAACACATTAACCCTCACTCTACCAGAAGCCTGCTAACACATTAACCCTCATTAACCATCTTCCTTCTACAATACCTTCAACTGCCAGAGGAAGAAAAAAAAAAAAAAAGGGAAAAAAAAAGCTAATTAACCCTTTCACCATCAGACTTGTATCCTCTCCCTGCTAAAGTACTACACCCATTTCATTCACCCTCTCCCTGCCAGAGTAATACACCAATTTAATGAAGTGGTCTGGGTGCCAGGTCCAGCTAGGGTTATTAATGGGTTAAGCCTTCCCCCTAATCCTCTAGTGGTTGTCTCATTGACAGCCACTAGAGGTGCTTGCGTGCTTCTCACTGTGATTTTCACAGTGAGAAGACGCACGCGTCCATAGGAAAGCATTGCCGCGCATGCGCATTCAGACGACGGGGCGGAACGGAGGATGAGAGCTCCCCGCCCAGCGCTGGAAAAAGGTAAGTTTAAACCCCTTTCCAGAGCCGGGCGGGAGGGGGTCCCTGAGGGTGGGGGCACCCTCAGGGCACTATAGTGCCAGGAAAACGAGTATGTTTTCCTGGCACTATAGTGGTCCTTTAACCCTCTTCCTGCCAGAGTAATACACCCATTACTCTCTCCTTTCAGAGATATGGGATGCCTCTTTTTGCCGTTTTAAATACTAGTGCTACTCATGTATTTAAAAAAAAAAAAAAAAAAAGTATAGCAGATGGTATAGTCAGGATATTACGGTCAAGAGACGGTGATGGCCACTCTAGAATAATCACCTTTTTTATGCTGTAACCACTGGAGGGTCAACTTGGCCTTGTGCTGGGGTCATTCTCATGCTAGAAAGTCCAAGAGCGTCCCAGGTGCAGCCATCGTGCAGGAGAATGCAAATTGTCTGCCAGTATTTTCTGATAACATACTGCAGTCATCTTGCCATCAATTTTCACAAGATTCTCCATGCCTTTAGAGCTCACCCCACCCTCCCCCCAAAAACATCAATGAGCCACCACCATGCTTCACAGTGGGGATGGTATTCTTTTCACTATAGGCCTTGTTGACCCCTCTTCAAACATAGCGCTTATGGTTGTGACCATAAAGCTCTATTTTGGTCTTGTCACTCCAAATCACAGTGTGCCAGAAGCTGTGTGTCAAGGTGTTGTCGGGCATATTGTAATCGGGCGTTGTGTCAATGGCACAGTAAAGGCTTCTTTCTGGCAACTCGATCACGTAGCTCATTGTTGTTCAATTATCGTCGTATTGGGCTCCTTGAAACAACCACACCGTCTTTTTCCAGAGCTGCCTGTATTTCTCCTGAGGTTACCTGTGGGTTTTTCTTGTATCCCGAACAATTCTTCTGGCAGTTGTGGCTGAGATTTTTTTTGGCTTGGTATCGAGAGATCCCCGAATTTTCCACTTCTTAATAAGTGATTGAACAGTACCGACTGGCATTTCAAGGCTTTGGATATATTTTTATATCGTTTTACATCTTTATAAAGTTCCATTACCTTGTTACACAGATCTTTTGACAGTTCTTTTCTGCTCCCATGGCTCAGTATCTAGCCTGCTCAGTGCATCCACATGAGCGCTAACAAACTCATTGACTATTCATACAAAGACACTAATTGCAATTTAAAAAGCCACATTCAAGGCCAAACATTCAAGGGTATGTAAACTTTTGATCAGGGTCATTTGGGTGATTTCTGTCATCATTATGATTTAAAAAGAAGTCAAACAACTATGTGATAATAAATGACTTAATATGATCACTGTCCTTCAATAAAATATTTTTTTTTGCATGATCAGTCAGATTTTTGAAATTAATGCCAAAATTTCACAGTTTCTGCCAGAGTAAGCAAACTTGAGCACAGATCTAACTATACCTTGGATTTAATTATAGTTTAAGGTGGTAATAAATGAATATTTTATACACAGTGTTTGCACTTTACGGTTACATAGTCTAAAAAGAGACCTGTGTCCATCAAGTTCAGCCTTCCTCGCATCTGTTTTTTGCTGTTGATCCAAAATATGACCAAAGCACTTCCAATTTCGCAACAAACTAGGAAACAAATTCCTTCCTGATCCCATAATGGCTGTCAGATTTATCTTTGGATCGAGGAGCTCTAACCCTACAGTTTAAAAATGATATCCTTTAAAAAATTTTTAACCCCAAGTATGAATCCAATTGCAGTTTAAACATCTGTATGGACTCTGATAAAACCACCTCTTTAGGCAGAGAATTCCACATCCTTATTGTTCTTACTGTAAAAAAAAAAAAAAAATATATATTATATTTTCTTTGCCTTAACCCCTTAAAGGACCACTCTAGGCACCCAGACCACTTCAGCTTAATGAAGTGGTCTGAGTGCCAGGTCCAGCAAGGGTTAACCCATTTTTTAATAAACATAGTTTCAGAGAAACTGCTATGTTTATGAATAGGTTAAGCCTTCCCCCAAAGACTCTAGCGGCTGTCTCAATGACAGCCACTAGAGGCGCTTGCGTGCTTCTCACTGTGATTTTCACAGTGAGAGCATGCCAACGTCCATAGGAAAGCATTATGAATGCTTTCCTATGCGACCGGCTGAATGCGCGCGCAGCTCTTGCCGCGCGTGCGCATTCAGCCGACGGGGCGGAGAGCTCTCCGCCCATCGCTGGAAAAAGGTACGTTTTTACCCCTTTCCCCCTTCCAGAGCCGGGCGGGTGGGGGCACCCTCAGGGCACTATAGTGCCAGGAAAACGAGTATGTTTTCCTGGCACTATAGTGGTCCTTTAAGGACACATGACATGTGTGACATGTCATGATTCCCTTTTATTCCAGAAGTTTGGTCCTTAAGGGGTTAATCTCTTTTCTTCCAGTGACCTCGTGTCCTATGTATAGCCCGGTTTATGAATAGATTTCCAGATAAAGGTTTGTACTGGCCCCGATTATATTTGTATAATGTTATCATATCCCCTCTGAGGCACCGTTTTTCCAAACTAAAGGAGGTTTAAATTTTTTAACCTTTCTTCACAACTAAAATGCTCCATTCCTTTTATCAATTTGTAGCTCGTCTCTGCACTTTTCCTAGTGCCATGATATCTTTCTTTAGAACAGGTGCCCAGAATTGCACAGCATATTCAAGGTGTGGTCTTACCAGCGATTTATAAAGAGGCAAATGATATTCTCATCCCGAGAATGAATGCCCCTTTCATGCATGACAAACCTTACTGGCCTTAGCCACTGCAGATTGACATTGCATATGAAAGAAAAAAAATCGGATTAATTTTCCTACTACCCTGACCAGCCAATGCACTGGGAGCAGGGGCAGGAAAAAATTAGGTCAGGACGGTGGTATCAGCTCCACCTCAATGTGGGCTTGTACCCAGAGATAATATATGAATAACAGAAAAGACTAAATAGAGAGGGCTCCCTCAAGGAGGTCCCTCAAATAGCTGATATGAATAATGGATACACCATAAATCCAGTATCTCTTGGAGATTACTTAAGCAGTATATAGAAAGTAAGCAGTGGGAAATCCAGTATCTCTAGATAAATCTATAAATATCTTGGGGCAAAACTGATAAGTATATGGGCAGAAAGCTTTATTGACAATCCAAAGTCATCAATATGATCAGCACACCCTTAAACAGAGCTTGTAGGATGAGGGAAACTAGTCAATTTGACGATCTGAAAGTCCAATATAAGTGAAGTAGGGTGAGATGAGGGGATACAACGGCCGAAAAGGGGCGTTTCAGCCGTTGTATCCCCTCATCTCACCCTACTTCACTTAGCACTATGCACTTGAGGGGATTCACATTCATTTTTGTTTTTCACCTTTTATTTTTCACTTTTTGGCAATGAGTAGCTTTATTATGTATATAGTTTAAGCAGTATCCAGTACTATATCGTAAGCTGATGTAGACACCGGAGTCAAGCATAGCCTTAGCACAGAACACCCACGAAGGTGTTTCGAGGAGTTTATAGGGAACTAGTCTAGCGGTGTCCACTACAGCAGCTCTGCTGAACCAAAGCCTTTTGGACTTTCAGATCGTCAAATTGACTAGTTTCCCTCATCCTACAAGCTCTGTTTAAGGGTGTGCTGATCATATTGATGACTTTGGATTGCTATAAACTTACCCCCACCTCAGATTACTGGATAAAGGGAGGGGATATAGTTTGCATCCTATTCAGCTACCGTGTATATTTTAGTCACTTTGGGGCATTATTTTGTCAATAAAGCTTTCTGCCCATATACTTATCAGTTTTGCCCCAAGATATTTATAGATTTATCTAGAGATACTGGATTTCCCACTGCTTACTTTCTATATACTGCTTAAGTAATCTCCAAGAGATAC